TTCATTCGATTGAATCAGAATCAATTTAATTCTGCTTGTATGGAGTTTGCGAGAGGTCCCGAGTTCGCCATTCGAGGTTAGGCCCGTAGTTCCGATCCTGGTTCTATTTGGATTTTATCGCGATTTTGAGATCCTGTCATAGCTACGATGAACTTTATCCGTGTAGTTGCTGGAGTTTTCGTTAGTTAAAAGACTATTTCAGGTTCATCTTTCCTCTCCTCTCTGTTATTTGCAATGTTGCTATCATATATTTCGTAGTTGAAAAATAGAGATAGCTTATGTTCTGATTGTTTTGATTCAAGTTCGTTTGAATATTGTGTTGGTTTGATTTTCTCTCTTAGCTTTCCTAGTTCAAGACATTAAGGCTTCTTCCATTTAAAATCCTAAGTGGTCAATAATAAAATAATTTTCTTAAGTCTATTTTAAGGATTAATTTTCATAGTTAATCAATTGAATTCTAAAACCTGTCATGCAAATCTAGCTTTAGAAGTTGGTAAATTGTTAACTTGGTACTTAAAAATTACAGAGGGATAGATAATTAATTTGTATTGGGTTGCAGTAATTTTGGGCTTATCCGATCAAAATACTGTTAGTATATTAGAGTAAACCTATGCATTATCTTGGTGCATGTTCTTTGTCTTAATGGAATTTGTTTAGTTTACTTTATTTATTTATTAAATAAATTGTTAGGAGCATGCTTAGGCCGACAACATTTGGGTAGGAAAGCCTTAGGGTTTTGTTTAGTTTCGAGGCGAGAGGCCGTTCCCTTAGTTAAATTTAACCGGGGAATGCCCCGAAGGGTTTGTATATATTTTATCCGGGGTATGCCTCGAAGTATTTTGTATTTGAAGACCAGCGACGGAACGCTTTGAGGAAGCATAGAATAGTATTTTTATTTTTACTTTTGTTTTTATTTTATTAGGAGGGGACGACCTCGAGCCTCGTGTGTGTTTACTTGCTTTTCCGTATTTATTTTTACCTCAATTTTAATATTCTAAGAGCCAACTAGATCAAGTACGCAACCGTACTAGTTACGGGACTTGGGGAGTGCCTAACACCTTCTCCCCGAGTCAAATGAACCCCTTACCCGATTCTCTAGTGCGGACTTGGTTTTAGAGTCTAAAATGTTTCAAAGGGAAAAATCATTTTAAAAAAAATGGTGACCTGACAAACCAAAATCAAATGTCAGGTGGCGACTCTGAGTTATTTTCCTTTTGAATACAATTTTTATCACGTTCTAATTGAAAAAACCCTTTTCAAGCTTTACTAAATTTTTTTATATTTTTAAGAGGGTTAGTGAGATTTGTAAAAAAGGGGTGTGACAGAGACAGAAGGCTGCTGTGATATAAGTAGAATACAACATGTGATACTAACTTATACATAAGACATACGAGCCTATAAGGCTAAAATAACCACTCGTCCACTGAACATAGGCCGACAAGGTCATACAATCTTTTATGTACATGACATCTGTCTACAAGCCTCTAAGAATATATAATTTTCATAAAGGTTGGGACAGAGGCCCTCCATACCAAACAATACTCATCTAAATCATACTAACCAACAAGCAACTCCGAAAAACTGAAGCGCGCCAATATTTTCTACTGAGCTGATAGCCTACTTGGAAGGCTCTCAACCTGTCTATCGAGACCTGCGGGCATGAAATACAGCGTCCCCAGGCAAAAGGGACGTCAGTACAAATAATGTATCGAGTATGTAAGGAATAAAAATCAGTAAATAATAGACATGAGAGAACACATGGAGTAAAAGACTCGACATGTACTTTTGCATAGCTCTGTGAATCGTTTCATTTTTATAATGTCATGCATATGCGCATAAATGTCATACCATGCATGGGTATATGTGTTCATAACATCATCAAGCCTCTGATGGCATCCCATCATATCATTTCAGCCACTGTGGGCAAATCATTAGCGTATACCAGCTGATCAGGTGGTGGTGCGTATATAACGTCGTAACCTTTTTCCATATCCCATATACATATAATATACATATATACACGTATATAATGTCATCTGGTCATGGGTCAATGTACATGAATGCAATGCATGATAAGTACGTCAATAAAATCTTTCGGAGTGTCATAAAACCATTTTGCCTTTGAATAATACCTTAAAGTAAACTTTATCAATTTACGTATTTTCTGAGACCCATGAACAGATGATAGAATAATATGACACATGGGAAATCAAGAACATAAGTATCTCTAATATTTCTATGAATAGAGTCATTTATGAAAGGTGTGTATTTACTCGTTTCGTTTGTATCGTATGGATCATGCCATAAAGAAAGAAGGGATAGCCTTAACATACCTGCAGTAGGGAAAAATCCGTATGATATTCTTGGAAAAGATTGTACCGTATTTCGTTAGAATCGCAAAATCTCACGTTGCTACGGTGCTAAGAAATCTTGTTGAAATTGTTTTGTTTCAAGATTAATATCCATTCTTGTTGGAGTGAGATTTCCTTCCATTCTTGAAAATGCTTGAATTTAGCAAGGAAACTTATAAGGTTACTTTGATTTACTTAAGTCTAATGAAGACCAAAATCCAAACATTTATGCCTTGGTACATTTTTACGCAAGTGTTATACTTATGGCACTTTAGATGTCACCTTTCATGTTATAACATGAGTCATTTCTATTTGCAGGGGGGCTTCCACCTCATGCTATATAATTGATGAGTAATATCCCATTATTAAGAATTTCATTATTCAATAATTAATTTATTAATTAATTGGATAATATCTCATTATCCAATAATTAACACATAATTAAGAATTACCTCAAATTACTTAAAATACTATTCACTTTTCACATACCTTATACACCTTACTATCATGGTCATGTGGCACCTTGTATGACACTAGCCCATAAATATCGAGTATTTTAGCTCGAGCCGTATTTTATCCCAACATGCCAAACTTGGACGAAAATTCATTTTCTTTGACTTGCTTCCCCTCTCACCTTCACGAATTTACTCATTACTTGTTTGAAATAGCATAATCCTTATAATCTTCAAATAATCTTTTCCTTGGACTGACGTCAATTACCTTACGACAAATTCAACATATAATACTACAAGGAGCAACATCGTCGTAAATAATTACTGCGAAGCGTAACATCATCATAATGTAATACTGCAAGGTGTAATATCGACGTAATATTGCAGGGTGTAACAGTTGTTCTCTCAAGATCCTTACCATTTCCGACGTGCTCGTCTTTGGCATCAGTAGGAGCCGCATCACGTTCGTGTCGTGGATATCGCCCGCTATGAACCGGCTTGGCAACGTCCTCCTCATTGCGGGTGTCACTGATCGAATACTTGTGTTGAGGCAGATTTTTTTAGGCCTCAACGTTGTGTGCGATGTTGTCATCGTTAGCTGCCATCTTTTACGATTTTTGCTAAGAAACAAAGAATCAAACAGATTAGTAATAGATGCAAGGATCAACTCAATTACGCAACTGTCTAAGCCCCACGATGGGCGCCAAACTGCTTACCCGTAAAACGGTATACTTTAATTTATAATGTGATATATAGACAAGCAAATCGATTTGATCCAAAATTAATACATAAAATAAATAAAATGCAAGACTTAGCATTGAAATCGAGATAAAATAACAAACAACTTGGTTCCGAGAGCAAGGATTCCGAAGGCAGCAATGAGAATATCGTTAGACAGAAAATAAAGTATTATTTAGCTTGGAATAATGTATAGCATCAGTTTGCCATTTCGTGTCCTACAATGGTTGTTAAAGTCACTATATATAACTATACCTAGGGAACAAGGTCCTTGGATCAAGCCTCTCTTAAATGACAATAATGGTGGTCATTAATAAATATGTAACGGTAGATCGATAATGAATGCCAAATTTCTCTGTAATGAACGTGTATTCAGTACTGAGGAATATTCTTCATTGAATATCTTCTGGTGACAAATATTCGTTTGCCCTCGTTAACAATGTTCCCTTCGGGGTCTACCCAATAACAACCACAAATGTTGTCCTCGTCTTGGTTTGCACTCGCTTTGTCCTCCGTCCGTCCCAGGTTTCACATGTCACTCTATCATTCGAGTTTTTAATGTGAACCAATTTTATCCTATACCCTAATATTATTGTTTGATCGAATCAAAACACTTTTAGGGGTCATTTGGTACAACAATGAGATATCCCATGGGGTAAGATATTCATGAAATTAGTAATCTCACCTTTTATATCATATATGGGATAACTAATATTACCATTACAGTGTAAACGTTATCTCGGAATTAGTTAATACCTCAAACTAAACATGAGATAAAGTTAATTTTAAACTTTATTCCGAGATTATTATTCTTATCTCATATACCAAACGATCTCTTAATCTACATCCACCACCGCATGCAAATAGTATTTTGTCCCACTAACCAACACAAGATTATTTTTATACGAGATTACTGCTATAGTGCAATATTTCAAAAGGTACTAACCCTGACGAACAATTTCTTGGGTTTCATTAATTATCCTTTTCGTTCTTTGAACAAAGGCACCGTACTTTTGTTGTTCTTGGAGTTGGGTCCATTGTATTGGTCTTGGTATCTGCTAATCAGTAATCTCGGGTCTAATGCCTATTCAATTATCATTACTCATTAATTCTTCTGTTAGACTAAAATTAATTACTCCATCCGTTCATTTTTAATTGACCATAATGAATTTTATACGCTCCTTAAAAAATAATAAATGAAGTGTATATTTTACCATAGCACCCTGCCATAATAATGATTGTTTTGAGAAGTCTTGAGAAATAATTTGTAAAATAAAGAATTAATGATAAGAGGTAAAACAGGAAAATATATGGTCTTCTCTTGATTTATTAAAATTGACAAGTAAAAATATAAATATATTTTTAGTATAGTGGACAAGTAAAAGTAAACAGAGAGATTATGACTTAAATAAATAAATATATATATGAAAATAAACTATTTGAAAAATAGGACTGGCCACTCTACACAAAAACCGAACTCATAGAAAAGAGATGCAGTAGGTTCTTTCTTCTAAACCTGAGTATACCCAGAAGCTTCAACCGAGCTTTAATGGCGTCTCGGCTTGTCCCTCTAATTTTGATCCTCAAACACAAATGTTTATCGCATTTTCAAGTCTAAATTTCAATACCGAGCTGAGTTTTAGTACTATGTAAGCAACAACTTGAGGTTTCAAATCAATAAATTCGTTCTTCGCAAGACCAACAATGGAATTTCGAAAATTCTCAAAAAACAAGCCTTTGAGTCTCCTCCCCAAAATTCGATTAAAGATCCAAATAGCGAAACACAACAACAATAATCAAAATGATCCATTCGTCAACCTAAAGAGTCATCGAAAACAGAACACTCTTTACCTACAAAGCTTCTTCACAACCAACACTCCACCGTTGTACCACCAATCAACCACCAGAAAAAGAACCTGTCATAGAAAATGACTACCCAAAAGACCAACATCACCCAAAACAATCTGAAATTTTGCTATATGAAAACGAATCGAAAATGGGTTTCACAGGCAATCTTCTTTCACTATTTCTTTTTCTTTTCTTTGCAAAGGCTTTCTTCCAAAGTAAGGGAATGGGGATGTGAGAAAAAAATTCCCCAAAAATTGTTGCTAATCTAGTAGAGGTTTTGAATCTGTGGTGGATGCAGATGTGAAGGGAAGGGCTGTGTTATTAGGGGTGTTGGGTTAAAATGGGAGAAGAGAGGTAACGTGGAGAAGGGAGGGGGGAGGGGGGGTTGGTGGGCTGCAGAACTAAGAGAAGCTGAGACGGCATTAAAGAGCTTAGGTACCTTCATTCTTTCTTTTTCTAATTTGATTTTTTGTATTTTTCTTTTCTTTTTATTTTTTTCCTTATTTTAATCATTAAATTTTTATGTCCACGCTCCTTATACGCGTGAAATACACGTATGTTGTCCACTTCAGCAATTAAATTTCCACGTAGACTTGGTCAATGGTCTGAGGGGTTTAAAATATCGATTTTGANATGTATGTTGTCCACTTCAGTAATTAAATTACCCCGTAGACTTGGTCACTAGTATGAGGGGTTTAAAATATCGACTTTAACAACTATAAGTGTCTGGACGAAACTTTATCAAGTACAGGGATCGGGACGACAAACACGAACAAGTACAAGTATCTACCAGGTCATTCTGCCTACACGTAAAAATGACTTAATAGTGTAAAATTTCTTTACACGGTTAGTATATATAAGTTAAACTATTTTTTTGCCTGACGATATAAATATGTTTTTACCCTATGAATGAATATTAACTTTTAATAACAAGTTAGTCAGTATAATTTTTACCAGATTATTAATTGATACGGAGTATTTATTACTACAAGATTCCACTTGTAATTAACTAAAAATGAGCTAATTTTGAAAATATTTTTTCTTTTCACTAATCTATTTTCTTTCTATAAATGTGCAGTGCCTATATAGGAGGAAAACAGCTGACTGCATTTGGCGTTAACTCCAACCATTTCTAAGAAAAATAATTGAAGTACGAACTCAGGGAAATGGAGAACAAGTTGGCTAAATGGGGTTTCAACAATGGAGATTTAAAGGAAAAATCATTGCTTTCAATTCGATCAGTTCTTGAAACAATAATGGAAAATCTTAAAGAAGAGAATGAGAGGAAGTCAGTCATTCATTTGGGCCGTGGAGACCCTTCTGCAATTCCATGCTTTCGAACTTCACCAGTAGCAGAAGACGCTCTTTTTAGTGCTGTTCGATCTGCTAAATTCAATGGTTATGCTCCTGCTGTTGGTATTTATTCAGCTAGGAGGTAAGCTAGCTTTTAGGATTATTTGTTATTACTTATATTTTAATGGGTGGTGCAGAAAATTAATTTTTTTCTTGCATGGATGTAAAAGCTTGTTCCTTTTTTATTGTTTCTGAAGGGAGGCTTGTCGTAACTGGTAAAGTTGCCTCCATGTGATCAGGAGGTCACGAATTCGAGCCGTGAAAATAAGCTCTTGCAGAAATGCAGGGTATAAGGTTTTCGACCCTTAGTTCGGCCCTTCCCGGACCCCGCGCATAACGGGAGCTTAGTGCACCGGCAGAAATTTTTCTTGCATGGATGTAAAAGCTTATACTTTTTTCTTTTTCTTTTTGGGTGAATTAACACATTGCAATTTAGAATTTGAAAAATATTTTAATTTTCCTTCCCATATGCTCTTCTGATAGCCTCTTTGTTTTTAGTAGACTTGAACACTTGACAACCTGCTAGATTATGGTTTTCTCGAGCCGAGGGTCTATCGGAAACAACTTCTCTCCCTTCACATGGTAGGGGAAAGATTTGCATACACACTATCCTCCCCAGACCCCACTTGTGGGATTTCACTGGGTATGTTGTTGTTGTTGTTGTTATTGTTGAACACTAGAAAACAGAAACTAAGCCTCTAAGTGAAATATCAGCTGCGAAGCTAAAAATTTTAACAAAGGGATTCAAGAAAACGTAAAATGTCACCTCTAGTATATTTTCAGCCCACTTTTGACACTACACTAAAAAAAAAAATTTTTTTAGTTCAAGGATATTCAAAAATTTACATACATATGAAAAAAATTATTTTTACCTTGTTGAATAGTCGAGTAAAGTGGACTCAACTAAATCCCTTTCCTCGCATGTGACTCCATCAATGGCTGATATAGAGAAAGAACTAAGAGGAACATTTGCTTGTCGCGTGTTGTAGGCTTGATGTCATTTATTTTAGTGGCTAATGATCATGAATGATATGATTATGTTTCATCAAGTTTTCTACCACGCTTGAAGAAACAAGCGATTTGCTGATGGCAAAGATATACTCGGATCTGTACATATTTTTTTCATCTGTTTAATAGGTCGATAGCGGAATACATCTCTCATGATATTCCTCACCAACTATCACCAGATGATGTTTTCCTTACACCTGGTGCTAATCATGCAATTGAAGTTGTAATGGCGGTCCTTGCTCGCCCTGGTGCCAACATATTGCTTCCTAAACCAGGGTATCCGTTTTATGAAGCTCGTGCTGCAGTTAGTAATGTTGAGGTTCGCCATTTCGACCTTCTCCCAGAAAAGGGTTGGGAGGTCGATCTTGAAAGCCTAGAATCCCTTGCTGATGATAACACTATTGCCATAGTTATCATTAATCCTGGAAATCCTTGTGGTAATGTTTTTACGTCTGAACACTTGCAAGAGGTATGATTGATCTCTATATTGATCGCTTATCACTCTGTTAAATTTCGCAGTATATATTGAATAACTCATTTTCCAAGTTCGTTGCTTCTTTGTTTTCATCATGGAGATTGCGGAGACAGCGAAAAAGCTAGGTATCCTAGTGATTGCAGATGAAGTCTATAGCCACTTATGTTTTGGTAGCAAGCCATTTGTGCCGATGGGAGTGTTTGGATCAATAACTCCAATTTTAACTCTGGGGTCATTGTCAAAAAGATGGATCATTCCTGGTTGGCGACTTGGTTGGATAGCAATGGTTGATCCTAGTGGCATTCTTAAGAAGTCCGGGGTTCGTATCATTTTCTTCCTTGTCTTTACTTTCTTTTTCTTGTCTTAATACTCTTATTTCAACTTTCTTAACCAAATAACAAATGGACCCTATGTTGCTTGGACTCTCCGAAATACTGTCGCACCCGTGTCAGAAGAATCCGAGCAACATAGAATGGACCAAGAAAAAGGTCCATATATGACTTGTGGCAAAATATCCGAAGGATACACTTTATTGAAGAATTATGAGGAGGAAAATGTATATTGGGAAAATATCCGAAGGATGCTTTTTATGATGTTTTCCCAAGCAGGAAATATATCATGTACCTTCAGGGAGCCTTGGAGCAACTGTAAAGTTATCTTCACGCGATTCAGCCACCTATGCTGCATAAGGGTAGGCTGCCTACATTACACCCCTTGGGATGCGGCCCTTACTCGGACGCTGCGTGAACGGGGATGCTTCGTGCACCACACTGTCATTTTAGTCATGCATACTAACCCACTGATGACATTTAGTATCTCTCATATAGATCTCTGGAAAAGTAGAAACTGATAGACTTGCATTTCAATGCTTTTTAAGGCTGTTTTACAATGTTACTGACTCTTATGTTGCTTTTTGCTTTTCAGTTTGCTGAATCCCTTCAAAGTTATCTTGATTACGGTGCTAATCCTGCAACTATTATTCAGGTATCGCTTATATGTGATTTCCTATGATCAAATCAATCATACACGTATCCAAGCTCATAATAGGCGATGACAAGAAGCTATATGAGTTTGCTTAAGTTTGTTCATTGACAACGATTAACGAGAATTATCTCATCCCATTATGTGTTTCTTTTTCCATATATCAGGGGAGTTCTTATTGCCTGTGATTTAAAATGTTCAGGGAGCAGTGCCTCACATCCTCGAGAAGACGACCAAGGATTTCTTTTCAAACATCAATAATATATTAAGGGAAGCTGTTGAAGTATTTATTACCAAAATTCAGGAGATACCTTGCTTTACCTGCCCATACAAACCAGATGGAGCAATGTCAGTGATGGTAAGGACTTATCGTAACACTTCGATTTAGGTCCTCTAAAATTCTAAATCTAGGAACTGCAGATATTCAGTTTTGACTTTCTTGTGTTGCAGTTTAAGTTGAACCTGTCATTTTTGGAAGGCATAAATGATGATATGGATTTCTGCACTAAGCTAGTCCATGAAGAATCAGTAATCATTCTGCCAGGTAAAATAGCCAGCTCTCTCCTAATATGGTTTGTCAATAAGGAATTTAGTACACACTAACGGTGGCAAACGGGCGGTTCGGGTCGGATATGAGCAGGTCAAAACGGGTCATTAAAAAAAAAAACAACGGCCCAGTGTAATCCTACTAGTGGGGTCTGGGGAGGGTAGTATGTACGCAGACCTTACCTCTACCCTGAGGGGTAGAGAGGCTGTTTCCAGGAGACCCTCAGCTCATGAAGACGACAAGAGACGATATATTAGTATTATCAATAGAATCATAATAAAATAACAACATATATAAAAAAACACAAAATAGATGGAAAATACACAATAACTAGTAGGTAAAGACCGGCATCAATAGAAACCACTAACATTCTAAATCTAAAACCTAACTAGCAAGTCTAACTCTGATGCTTCGAAAAAATATTCACAACTACCTCCTAACCTACAAATTTAATGCTCGACCTCCACAATTCCCTGTCAAGGGTCATGTCCTCAGTAATCCTAAGTCGTGTCATGTCCTGCCTGATCACTTCTCCCCAATACTTCTTGGGCCGTCCTATACCTCTCCTCGTGCCCACCACAGCTAGTAGCTCACATCTCCTCACCGGAGCATCAGTGCTCCTCCTCTAAATGTGCCCGAACCATCTGAGTCTTGCTTCTCTCATCTTGTCCTCCACGGGGGCTACACCCACCTTCTCCCGAATAGCTTCATTTCTAATCTTATCCATCTTAGTATGCCCGCACATCTACCTCAACATCCTCATCTCTGCTACTTTCATCTTTTGGATATGTGAGTTCTTAACCGGCCAACACTCGGTCCCGTACAACATGGCAGGCCTAACCACTGCTTTATAAAACTTACCTTTTAGTATTGGTGACATTTTTTTGTCACACAGGACTCCCGACGCTAACCTCCACTTCATCCACCCCACCCCTATACGGTGTATGACATCCTCGTCGATCTCCCCAATCCCCTGAATAACCGACCCAAGGTACTTGAAACTACTCCTCTTGGGAATGACTTGGGAGTCGAGCCTCACGTCCACCCCCGGGTCATTAAAAAAAACGGATAAGTTATCTGACCCGACCCGTATTTGAGACGGATAAAAACGGGTTTATCCGGCGCTTCTTAAATATTATCACTTATGAGAGAATTCCTAGTCTTCCATACTTGAGGAACTCCAATTTGAGGCTTTACAAATGTAAAAGTTAAACACATTAGTTATCTATTGGTTATCCATTTTCTAAGTGGATAATATGGTTCTTTATCCATATTCGACCCCTTTTTAAATAGTTCATTATCCAACCCATTTTTGATGTATAATATGGGTGGATAACCATTTTCTTTTAACCATTTTGGCACCTCTAGTACGCACTATTGAGTTTAGGTGTTTGGACAATATTTGGTCGAAGTTGAAAAAATAAAGTATTAGAAGTTGAAGTTGTGTGTTTGAATATGAATTTCACTTGGAAGAAAATAGTGAAAGTTTTGTGAGTTGGAAACCATTTTTGCATTCGAAATACTCACGAAACAAGTTTTTCGATATTTCACTAATACTTCAAATACGGAAATTTAGTATTTGCAAATAATTATGACCACACCAGTATTGTAGCAAATACAACAACAACAACAACAAAAAACCCAGCGTAATCTCACAAGTGGAGTCTAGGGAAGGTAGTGAGTAGGCAGCCTATGCATACACCAGTATTGTAGCAAGTACAACAACAACAAAAATCATGTGTAATATCACAAGTGCAGTCTAGGGAGGGTAGTGAGCATGCAACCTTACGCGTACTTTGTGCAGGTAGAGAGGTTATTTACGGTAGATCGTCGGCTCCAAACATACATAGTCACAACAGAATTATAGCAAGTGGTGAACTATTATTTATGGCCGATTAAGTGATGAAAAAATTATAAATTGCAGGAATGGTGGTGGGGCTGAAGGATTGGCTGCGATTAACTTTTGCTATTGAGCCATCCATTCTTGAAGAAGGACTTGAGAGGATAAAAGCTTTCTGCTTGAGGCGTTCAAGCAGCTAAAAGAAAAATTGGTCTCAATTTGCTAATCTATTGTGAATCAAGTCTTTTATTATTAGTGTTGAAATAGACTAATGTAGAATTTCTCCTTAATTGACAATTACTTTTCGTTGTTAAAAGCTACAATCTTTGGACGTTGCACGACAATTTGAATTGTTTTACGTAAGGCGGAGCCAGAATTTGAAGTAGGGTTCGAAATTCTAGTCCATTTAAATTACTGGGTTCTAATTTAATATTTTATACATATCCATTGAATTTCTTAAGACAAATACATAAGTTTAGATTAAAGTTACTAAGTTCGACCGAACATGTATTTCACATTCTAGCTGCCCTGTCTGACCCATTAGTAGAGTAAGCAAAAGGTTTAAAAATACACAAAGGACCCTTGAGGAAAACATGTCTTGCAGTCAAAGAGATAATGGTTCTTGTACTTGGCAATTCAACTAAACTGAATGCTCCTAATACCACAAGTTAGTTGTAAGGGTTAAACCTAAATATAGAAAAAGAGAAGGAAAAATGACATTTTATTGTCGCTGTCAAAATAATAGCCGAAAAAATGTATAAAATTTGTATATATATATATATATATATATTCTGTATGTTATATACAAATTTCATATACTTTTTCGGTTATCAAATGTAAATAATTTCTGGCACGGACTAAAAGTGATAATACCCCAAAATAAAACTGGATGAGAGGGGATGTAGTGTGACAACAACGAATGTGACTAAACTTGTAGTGTGATACAAAGTGAAAAAACAAATTTATTGACTAAGTGAAAAAAACGATGTGATTTACTATTAAGTGCAAAGTCACAAAAATCTCTCACATTGTAATTTAGAAATTGTTCCATTGACATATCAAAGAAAGTGGTTTAATTTTCTCAATTAGGAGCAGTGGCAGAGACACCCTTTAGTAAAAGTTATTATTTGACTATATTTCGCAATTTTTTTGTAATAATTACAGTCACAATTTTATAATTCTTCGTCACATTACTAATGAGGTCAATCTTTTCCATTTCCACTATTTTTATTTTGTACAAATATATTTTTAAAACATCTTTTCTAAGTTAAAGAATAGAATGGATGTACTAGAGTGAGTCTCTTTATTTATTAATTATAAAAAGGAAAACTAACACAGATGCCAAAAAGTACAACAGCAACGACGATCCAGTGAAATCCCAATAGTGAGGGTATGGGAAGGGTAGTGTGTACGCAGACCTTACCCCTACCCCGAAGGAGTAGACAAGTTGTTTTCGACAGACCCTCGGCTCAAGAAGATGAATATAGGTAAAAAGAGAAAAAGAGGCAATATATCAGAACCATCGACATAAACCATAGGGAAGAAAATGACAGCAATACAAGCACTAGTAAATAAATGAAAAGTAAAACAATAACCAGTAACCAGTAAATAAGGTCCGACACTATGAAAAACAGGAGAGTAGTATGAACGCAACATTAACCACTAGCAGTCTAAGACAAGAACCTATCATACTAGCATGACTCTGGTGCGAAGTAGAAATATGTTCAACTACGTCCTAACCTACAACCTTAATGCTTCCATTTTTTCTTATACGTCCAAAAAGTATCACGCAAAATACTTATTTTGAAAATGTTATACTACGTATATGTACATGTCATATAGCTTAATAGTACAAAAGTATGATTCAGCTATTCCTAGGATATATACAAATTATGCTAATAATTTTATGCAATTATGTTGTACCTTCATATATTGTGTGCTCAAAACATTAAACAAGTACAAAATTATACTATATAATTTTTAAGGAGCGAATTTTATAAATAAATAAATAAATATTCAGTCCGCTCGAGTAATAATCATATTAAGGGCATCCTTTACTAAAGTCAAAAGTTTTACTAAAGGGGAATATCTACGTACCAAACATTTCTCAGACTTTCTTTTATTATTATTGTTATTGTTATTAATATTATTATTATTATTATTTGACATTTCTATCAATTTCTATTTATTAAAATTATTCTACATTTCTGTTGTTTTTCTTTAATTTTTAATTCATTTTCTGTTATGTAGAAATAGAGGACCCCTTCAAAACCCTAATTTGTTTGTTTTATTCATCACTCTCCCCCTTACTCTTTTCTTTCTCATTTCCAATTTTTCTGAAAAGGTGAGGGTTTAAGATATTTGCGATGGCTACGACGGCGGCAGCGGCAACCAGCACGGCGGCGACAACTGAGAAGAAGAAGCCGGTGTTTGTGAAAGTGGACAGCCTAAAACCTGGGACACATGGTCATAACTTGACGGTTAAGGTTGTTGATGCGAAAACGGTGAAAGCTACCGGCGGCGGCAGCCGTGGCGGCAGAGCATCGGGGTCGCTAAACCCTAGGGCTCCACCGCGAATCTCTGAGTGCCTCGTTGGTGATGATACTGGATCCATCCTCTTCACCGCACGTAATGAGCAGGGTATATATATCTGCATTTCTGAATTTTGTTTAGCTTTATAATTCTCTTTTCTATTTCGAGATATTAATTTGGATTTTATTGAGAAAATGAAAGGGGAAATGAAGGAAAATGATTGATTTTTTAGTTTTCCTTTTTGTGTTTTAATTTCAATAGTTTTCCCTTTGATAATCCAGTTTAGAGATAGATTATTCAGTATTGGATTGAGACGAGCCAAAATTGAGTGGGATAGATTTAGAAGATTCGTAGAGACAATTCTAATGAGATTGGAATGGAGGCATAATTGATATTACCATTGTAGTGATCAATGGTGGACCAAGGAATTCTAAGTGATGGGTGCTCAGCTGCCTTTATGCCAATTTTTTAACCAGCGTACCCATTGTCGTACGACCTATAGGCTACGGGTTCGAACCGTGGAAGCAGCCACTAATGCTTCCTCGGAACCTATGTGAATGCTGGATGCCTTGTGCAGCGGGCTGCCTTTTTTACCCCATTGCCGTATCCTGAGGTTGGAAGTTTAGTCTCTCTATTTTTTTTTACTAAGTTTGCAATGTAAATATATTTGTTTGGGTCAACAATATGGATGCTTGAGCACCCAGTAGCTTAGATGTAGGTCCATCATTGGTTGTGATGGAAGTAGTAGGCACTCAAAGGAATAGTTAAGGTGTGCACAAGTTGGCTCAGAAACTATCGCTATAACAAAAATAACATTACCTTATAGAGCTCATAATGAGAGAGATGGAGTTGCATTTGTTAAAATAACCTGGAAATCTATTTTAACCAAAAAAAAAGGAAAGGAAACCCGGAAATTGGAACTTCGTGTTAATGTAGGTTGAAGAATTGAAGAATTTAGAGATGTATGAATTTGCAATTTCTAGTTTCATGTTTGATAGTGGTGTTATGAGACATGCTTGAGTGTTACGATTCTCTTTTAGCAAGTTCCACTTTACATTTTTATTTTCTGCTGAAGAAATATTATATTTGTTTTGCTATTACTTTTTATGTGAATTCTAACATTTTGCATAATAATGTGAATTCCGGGTTTTATAGTTCTGTGTTTAAGTATTAGTAGCTCATGCTACCCTTCTCAAAGGTTTAATCAGTGTTTTTTAGAGCGCGAAGCGCAAAAAAGCGACAGGGGCTCGCCTCGCTTTTCTAAACACTGGGTTTAATCACTTTGCACTTCCCCTTATCTTGTTAGGAAATTACAAGGTTGAAAACTTATCAAAATAAAAGGTTATACCAACTACCAATTATGATCTGGATAATGATTTTACGTTAATTATTTTGATACCTCTTTGCCCTCATATTCCATTCAATCTAGTGTAATACTTTCACTTTGTGGAGAAATGGTGATTTGGTGGCTCTATGTATTCAGGTTGCTGGCAAATGTGGTTTGTTTTTGGCTGGCAAATTCTTTAGAACAGTTGTATTGTGATTTTGTGCAGAAAAGTCAATAAAACGATTCTTAATATGCAATCAGAGAAAAAGGGATGCTATTGGTGTTGTGATTGGATAGATCTGTTCTTTTATACAGTTGTATTGTGATTTTGTGCCCAAAGACAAAACGACTCTTGATTAGCAATCTGAGAAAGGGGATGCTATTGAATGTTTTCTGTTGTGATATTTACACCTTTACTCTTTTATGCAGTTGATTTATTGAAGGCAGGGGCTACTGTGATTCTGCGGAATGCAAAGATTGACATGTTCAAGGGTTCCATGCGACTTGCAGTAGACAAATGGGGTCGTGTTGAGGTTACTGAACCAGCTGATTTTGCCGTTAACGAGCAAAACAACCTTTCTTTGGTTGAGTATGAATTGGTGAATGTGGAAGAGTAGAGGAACTAATTAGAAGCGGTAGTTTTTAAGTTATCTCAGTCCAATTCTTGTTTTAATTGGTTAATTATTGAATTCCTTGAATTGTATGGAATTTTATGTGCAAGAATGCCAGCATATCGGCTCTTATAGTTTGTTTCCACCAATCCATACCATGGTAAATCGGTTTCTTTGTTTGGATTGTTTGACTTCCATAGATGTGGATTGTTATTCTTATTTTTCTCAGTTGGTGCTTGTGTACAACGTAATCTTGTCATAAAATCTATTTCAGCGCCGCATCTGACTTTCCTCTGTTATATGTATGCATTTTAACCTTTTTTGGGTGTATATACATGTACATACATTGTTCAAAAAATACCAATTGGTTCAATTTTACCTGCAAACTTTCCCTGATTTTGTTCTTTTTAGTACTAGAGTGATGCAAAGTGATTAATTTCCCAAGCTTTATCGCATGTTTCTCGCTTTATGGTGCACGACTGGTGTCAGCTTAAGAAGTTCAATTAATTCCATGTGGATCAGGAGAACTGCTAATTTCTTGAATTTCAATGTATTAAAGCCTATTTAGCTCTATTCTCATTTTCCACGTCTGGTGACAAGTTTGGTAGTAATACAAGTGTGAAGTATGTTTTTACTGACAATTAGGTTATAAATTCAAGAAAATCGGCACCATTTGTGACACGGTAGTTATTGGTAGGAAAAGCTCAGGTATCCTAGTGTACAAAAACATGATATAGAAAGTTATATGATTCCAAAATCTACAAAGTATAATCACTACCAACTCGTCGCTACATCAAGTAAGCTCCAAGAAGATTATATTTTTCCCCAAGTGTTCCAAAAGGTTAAGATCCAGTTCCTCAATGTTTATGTTTGGAAATGCAGAATACCCAGAAGCTCCTCCTTGGCTACTCACTCATATAACTTCTTTACATGGCAGTTGGCACCACGTCGTTAGGAAGAACAAACTGGTAATGTTTGCTCCAGCTCCCCCAAAAGAATCATCACACATCGTCATTTTGAGCTGATTGAATAAAAGATAAATGTGTAAGCAGCAAGATAAATGTGGCCGGATACGTGTCGGATCCTCCAAAAATAGTGCATTTTTGAAGGATCCGACATGGGTGTAGCTACATTTTGGAGAGTCCGCGCAACATAGGCGAAAATTTGCTCTAGAGAAATTTATGAGATATGTAGTACAATGCTCCATGGAAAATAATATATAGTAGCAGGTATTTACGTTTCCAAATCTACTTGAACATGAATGGAGGCTTGGGTTGAAGAACAAGACCAGCAATTGGACCAGACCAGATAAGAGCTTCAAATTAGCTACCTAATGCGAATGATTCTACCATCAAATAGCCCTCTCCTGCAACTATAGTTCAAAACTACTAATCCTAACCTTGAACATCAACAACTAAAGATCATTACTAGAGAGACACATCAGATAATGTTATATGATGCTTCCCTGGTCAACATTCTTCCGTACCCAGCAATCACCAACTTAAGATCAAAATAATAGAAAGGAAAAAACAAAAATTCTTATAATTTTCATCATTTCAAAACCACTTTACATAGACGGTTGACCATTGTTACCTATATAAAAGTGTCCTTCTCCGCTCCCCACCCCAAAAAGTAGGGCAACCCACCAAAAAAAAGTTATGCGCCCGCTTGCGCGGCAGCGGAGGGGGGGGGG